CATGCGCGTTTTACCCATATTCTATCGCAATATTTTATTTTCCTATCGTTGCCCAAAATTACACCGGTATTACCGTGAACGATATGATATAGCCCAGCCCTAATGAACAGTATCCTGTACGTGAAACGGGTATTACCTGTTCCGTCAGGAGTGGAGCGCACAAATGTGGGCAGCATCTTGACAGCAGCTGTGGGGTTGGTGTCTCTACACAGGCCTTTGTCCATCTCTCGACGAAATCGTAGTGACACGTCCATCAAAGTCTTATCTGACAGCTGGAGGTTGTGAAGGTATTTGTCCACCTAGATAAATAAATAAGTAATTAATTAACAAAGTTAGTATTTCCTAAGTACTAGATTAGTCTGCATCAGAAAATATAACATGCATTACAGTCTTCCTTGGCAGGGTTCAAGGGGATAATTGCTTAATAGCGTGTAGCTTCCTTTCAAGTGTTGAAAGAAAAAAAAAAAAACACACAATCTCAAATAGAAACACAGAGTAAACAGCATCATCATGTTAAAGGTCACCAAAAATAAATGCCGAATGACTTCTTCTAGTTTCCTTCAAATTTTCCAAAACCATATAGTGGGCCGCACTGGAGTCTTTACCAGGCCAATTCTGCCCCCCAGGTCTTATGTTTGACACCCCACCTAAGACGTCCCAACAAAGAAAGAAATGAAAATTATTCTCAAAATCTTTACAAGATTTTGTAGGCAAACTTAACAATCTGGAGCAAGGCTAAAGCAAGAAGGTAACAAAAAATGTCACGTATTGTTGAAGATTTTAGAGAAAAACCAGCTATAACAGAAATTAATGAAAATAAGCCCATTTCAACAACTAAACTCTGGTACGGGTTGGACCTTGTATCTAGGGAACACAATGGATTGAATATTGTAGTCCTTGTACATCACTACTATGAAAGTGGAAATTACACTTTCTGAAAGAAAGAGACTAAGATTCGGCAGGAAAATAGGCTGATACCACACACACACACACACACACACACACACACCAGCTGGACACTATAGGGGGCTACTACAAAGCTTTATTGTAAGTTTCTTGCTATAATTTCTAAAAGCAGGTTTTTACTTGGGGGGATGAATAAGTCTAAAGGGATGGGAATTTATACTTCATTCATTCATTTAAAATTTAATTTAGAAAGAGAAGAGGTCTGAATATTTAAATGTTCCCCTCAGCAGGAGTATCTGACAGACCAATTCACGTTTTGTAATTATAAGCTGAGTCTGAGTGAACAGCCTCACAGCAGGAGAAGCTGTTAAAGGTTTCGTAGATGAATGGTAGCGTCTATGAACAAGCAAAATCATCAATTCATACAATTCCCCGTTTAAATGACAGCAATGACTGGAGTGCAACAATAGGAGAAAACAGCAGAACAACAGAACAAAGGGCCAAATGAGTTCCATTCAGCCATTAATCAAAAAGAATCAGCTCAAAAGGTCCAAGGGCAATACTGCTGTAATTTCGTTTTGGCTATTTCGACAAATTGCATAAGATTACCACCAGAAACACTGAATAAGAAGTCAAACCGTAGGTAATGAAATGAAAAAGCAGTGAAAAGATTGTTCAAAATGGAATACAAAAGGAATTACACTCTCTGAAATGGCAGTAAATTCAGGTTTTATTACGCTATTATTTAATAGTAATTATCAGGCATGTGCATTTTCACCCATACAGTTTAACTTGCTTACATAAGCTGATCACTAAGCACCCATCTTTCGCATACAGTCTCGTAGGCAAGGTACAGATTATATCTATTAGTATGCAAGGGCTAGCCTAAAAAGAAGGCTCTATCATGTAAATGTTACAGTCCTGTGACTTGCAGGCTTTTAATTTGAAGAGGTCACAGGAAGTGTTTGTACTAGGGTTGCTAATCATCCCTGTGTTTTCACCAATGATGACGTGTGTTTTAACTGTGAGCCTCTGGGCATCGTGAAAAGGACAAGTTGTGCAGAAGACTGTAGCTATCTGCCTGATCTCAGTCAAGACAGATTGTCTTGACTGAGATCTCTACCGTGTTAACAGCATAACACAGTCCCTTCACCAAAGCATGTCACTAACTTATCAAACAGAACATGCTCGGATTAAGGGGCTGGCCTTGAAGCCTGTGTCAATAATGATGAAAACAAAAATTACTGCAATGAAATTTTTTTTTTACAAATTTAAATATTTTTGAAACTATTATGTATAATGACAATATAATAATACTGTAAACTTGTATTGCATGGTGTCATGTCATTAAGTAACCTGTCCCAAGCCTGAATAAATAGGAGGGTTGCATCAGGAAGGGTCGCAGCATAAAAACTGCACCAAATCAAACATCTGCGCACATCTGCTGTGACAATCCCTTGGGAAAGCTGTAAATACCACGTCATTAAGTAACCTTCCTATTGTGGATGATTTTATTTTCCCATTAATCCATTTTCTTACACTTATCCAAATCAGGTTTGCAGGGGGCTGGAGCCAAGCCGAGATACCCGAAGAGAACCCCCCCACACACACACATGCAGAATCCAAGCAGCAAGGCTCCAGTCAGATGGGGGACTCAGACCCAGGGTGTTCTTGCTGTGGTGCAACAGTGCTAATCGTGTTTTGTTTTCTTTTGTTTTGGGCACACTGCAAATTTCTTAAATAAAATCTGGAGCTTTCTGCAGCAATGATGGCTTTTTCCTGTTATAAATGAACCATCAAGAAAATAAAATTCAAGTCGTAGCAGTTAAAACCCAGGTTTATTGATGATATGGGAGGGTGCTATAAGTATGTCCCCACTGAGCTTAATGGCACACAAATGACAGGAACTACTAAAGTTTTTAACATTACTGTGCTTTTACTTCCCTGAACAAGTCTTCCACACTTTACTGATTCTTCCAAGAAAAGGGCGTTAACGATTTTCCCCATACGGAGAGTAAGAAAGGGCTACACACACACACACACACACACACACACACACACACTGCATTGACGAAACCTGATATGACATTACCTTGTCTATAGAGTGCGTAATAAGCTTTATTGAATCCTGTTACCCAATGCATTGCTCCAACTTCCTCTAGTGTGAACAATAAAGTGGGGTTAATTAAGTTAACGGCAGATTTTTTTTGGCCAAAGAGGAAGAAGTAATAACACGCAAACAATACATGCTAACAGCCTAGCGACCTGTTTGACCCCGGTTTCACGTCCTCCCTGAGACGTATCAAGTTCAAATGTCACGTCACCATACTGGAGATAGCCACCAAAACATAACTAGCGGAGTGTTGAACGCCAGTACTCACTTTATCTGCTTGGTCATCGTGGAGTTCCGTGCTGTAATTAGCCAGAGGGTTCGAGGTTGACATCTTTAGTCAGGGATGTGTGGCGAATTTATGTCCTTCTCGTCCTCCTACTCTATAGACTTATAGAGAAATTAAATACAAACACAGCTCCCTTAAATAATAAACAAACAACAGTGCTAACTTGTCTCAAATTCGTAAGTTAAACTCGTCTTTAAAAACAGAGTTGTGCAAAAAAAAAAAAAGTCTAGTGAAACTTCCAGCTTCCTGGACCTGGTAGTGTGGTGACGTCAGAGAGAAAGAAGGGCGCCGATTGGCTGCAGAGATGTCGCGGTGATATCACTTTTCTCCAAAAAAAATTACAGAACAACAGTGCTGCAGTACTACAAAATTTGGTATCGAAGTGATACAAAGTGAATACAGAGCCAGTATTAAAGATACCAATATCAATAGTGATACTGTTACTTTTAAGACAGCCGATATTGGGTAGGGCAGTGTGTTATGATCTATGAGATGAATCATCATCAGTTTCCAAATTCATAACAGAATTTAATGGCCGCTAAATCACTACGATTTTTTACTTTCCACAATACTTAACACAACAAAGGACACTATTCAGCCTTTCATGTGTTTTGAAACTGGAATTTAAACGTTGTTTAAATGTGCTATAGGCTATAGATTTAATACATGTGACAGTCAACACAAAAAGGTTTTTTCAAAAAATAATTTTTTTTATGGTGCATGTTTGAGGAGGAGGATTTTTTTCATTTGCATAAAATAATGCAATAAACACAATTCAGTGAGCTACACACTGAACTTAGAGCAGGGGTGTCCAACTCCAGGCCTCAAGAGCCAGTGTAATGCAGGTTTTAGGTGTGTCCTTGATCCAACACAACTTCTTTAAATGGCTAAATTACCTCTTCAACATGTTTTGAAGTTCTCCTGAGGCCTGGTAATGAACTAATCATTTGATTTAGGTGAGCTGATCCAGGGTGATATCTAAAACCTGCAGGACACCGGGCCTTGAGGCCTGGAGTTGGACACCCCTGACTTAGAGGATAGAGACAACATATCAATCCTAGTATTAATCTGTTACCAAAACCAGCGTTTTAATCGATGCTATCAATATTTGGATTGATCAGCTTATTTAATAATAATAATAATGGATTGGATTTATATAGCGCTTTTCAAGGCACCCAAAGCGCTTTACAATGCCATTATTCATTCACTCTCACATTCACACACTGGTGGAGGCGAGCTACGGTTGAAGCCACAGCTGCCCTGGGGCAGACTGACAGAAGCGAGGCTGCCATATCGCGCCATCGGCCCCTCTGGCTACAGTACAGAGATGTTTCAGATATGAACCAAACAATAGGAACGCAATTTCTCAGCCGTTTGTTGTTACTTTGCAGATTGTGATTTTTATACAAGGTACAATAGTGTATAAAATTCACTTCAAACAAAAAAAACAAACAAAAAAACAAAACAAAACAAAAAAACACACATTTTCAAAGATGTTTGGAACAGCCTACCTGGCACTTATAATCCAAATTTCTCTCATTAAACGACTTGTAAACAGTATTGGTGTATGTATGCCCACACTTGATAGCATCGTATCACTTCTGAGTGATCCTTGCATCAGGTGAACATCTATTTATAGAACGATTTCAAAAGTTACATTTGGTCACGGCGGTATGTGACCAGAGGGATTTGATTGAAGGGCATGGATCAAATGGAAAGACGTGTGGGCAGGTACTGTTATAAGCAGAAATATGTTGCTTTTCACATTCTTTTGTTCTGAAACTGCTCAGACAAAAACTCAGTAAGTCTGGTTCCTATCTTTAAACAATGTTACCACTAGCAACAACAACAAAATATATAATAAGATCAAAACTTCCAAGAGTATATCTGAAGGGAAGAAGTTCCTGTGGTCTCCAGTAAAATGATGGAACAATATCTTACACAGAACTATCACCATGCAAATCTAACTCACATTAACCCAATTCGAAACCTCATGTCACACATCTTTTTTTCACTTACTCAGTGCAGATCAGCACCAAAAACTATTTCACATATAAATCTTCTTCACACATGACCACACATGCACAGACAGACACACACATCCACATATGTGCAATACCACTAAGTGTAATTTTTCTAACCAAACATAGAATGTAAATTTTATTTTACATAGCATGTTATTCTTTTTATCTTATTCTCTTCCATTGTTTTCCTTAATTTTTAGTGCTTGTAACTTCGCACTGTCCACTTTCTGCCGTGACCCAACAAATTTCCCACGTGTGGGGCTAATAAATGCTTAAAAATTCAGACCTTCCATACACAAGTGGCACTCATTCAATCCAAACAAAGAAAGCAACAAATATAAGTGCAGTAAAAGCAGTAAATAACCACCACATGCCCTATATAGTTTGTAAAAAGCAATGTACACAGATGTTTCAGTACAACACAGGGCAACCTGATTATGCTGAAGTTGGGTTGTGCTCTTTATCCTGCATGCCTCATTATCATTCAATGAAGAAGAACATCTGGAAGTACTGTCCTTTGTTTTGCTCTTGTCTTCCTCCTCTGCACCTTAAATTGTTCGCAGAGAACCATCTGTCTTCCATCACCTCATTAGCAACACTTGTTGAGTTTTTGCCTACAAGTTAATTGTTGTGAAAATACATTTGAGAGTTTTTGAAGCAGTTTTGCATCAGGAGCATATATACTGTTTTAGTGTTTACTTACATAACTTGGTCAGCTTTTAGAGCTTTATTGCTAAAGAACTAACTCTGGCTCTCTATACCATGCGCTCAGTGTCCTAAGACAACTTAATGAATCTCATTATTTTGGGAAAAACTTTACTCGCTTTCATCTCATTAAAACAGATTTTGTATCATGAAACACTTTTGATGCACCACAGATGGCAAAAGTAAACATTACCACAGCACAGATGTTATATCTTAGACCCAACAACTCAGAGTAGTTAATGAATCTCACAGTGGTTACATTTTATTGACCTCCATCTCCCTGATATGTGAGTTTTATTGTTGAATCAAGGATTTTGGTGTCAGATGTTTGCTGCCTTTATAATGCCGTGTAGTATATTTTAATCACAAATTTGCTGTGGTGTGACTTTTTGTTTAAAATTCACCTTTCTGCAAATTAACTAGTGTAGGAAGGAATTCAATTTTCTGTGTGTTGCCAAATACAAGATAGTTTTTCCACAGAAACAGTTGTACCAGTGAAACAAGATGTTCAAGTTTTTCGGCAAACAACTCTGTTGTTTATTTCAAAAAATGATATTCCTAGAAGTGATTGATGGTTTCCAAACATTTCCTGAAACAATGGGTGTGTGCGGAGATCAGCTCAGGTAAAATGAAAATCTGTAATGCGCCAGGCAGCTACTGTTGTGTAATATGGAGCCCCGCATGGGGACATGGGAGAAAAAAAATTAAGACCGACTTTTGCGAGATCTCGCAAAAACTTTTGCGAGATTTCTAAAACAAACTCGGGATCTCGCAAAAGTTTTGTGAGATCTCGCAAAAGTTTTAGCCGCATTCTTCGGAGGCCGCCAGCTCGAAACCGACCGGGAGGTCGAGGCACGATGTGCCGGGAAAGCGGTGTTCGAGATGTCAGATCTCCGAAAACGTCGGAGCACTTTTGCAAATATGTGATGTCTTGTAAACCAAGCAGGTATCTGACGTTTACACAACTACATTCACGCCTCAAAATATCTTAAAAGTGTATTTTGTGACCCAGAAAGAGTAATATTACAACTAAGTAGCTGCCGCCATTGTTGGAATTCAACTTTTGCGAGATCCCGAGTTAGTTTTGCGAGATCTCGCAAAACTTTTGCAAAATCTCGCAAAAGTCCGTCTTAATTTTTTTTCTCCCATGTCCCCTGCAGGGCTCCGTAGTGTAAGGAGGCGTGTTACATCATGCGTCAAGTTATGTGAATAATCAGTAACCTCCCCTTTAAGGAACACCGTCGGTTTGTATGCGTTGGCTCTCGCTGCTCATTACGGGAATGGGAGGGATACGTACGAGACAGCAATTACCTCTCTGCCTGAGAGACTAGAGTGAACGTCTGATGTGTTCCAAAATTTACATTTTTAGTTTAAACTATGAAATTAAATTGCAAAGCGTTACATTGAAAGTAGAAAATACACGTTACGTTTTCATTATGCAAACTGTTTTACAAATGGTGAGGCTGATTTGAGACTGCGTTGATGATGTTTCTGATGTGTGAATTGCACTGAAGCGATTGGGGAAAAGTGTAATATAGTAAATTGCGCCTTTCTAAAAAATATGAGCACTCAAGGCACTTTCTCCCACAAGTCTCATTCACCCATTAACACACACACACATTCATATAGTGATTTTATCTATACCCAAACACTTTTTAAATAATAGTCAACACACACACATATGTGCCAGGAGCAACCCAGAGATGGACTGCTGTAGAGAGGACACAAAAACAGGACTCTTTGGTGAGTTTAGTCAATGAAAGGCATTTAGTCTGCATACAAGTCTTAGAATAAACCAAGGCCAAAATGAAAAAAAAAAAACCCACAAAATTAAATCCCATAAAAGAGAAGGAGACATGCCAGGGACAACCAGACAATCTGACAAATGGATGAAGCACTGCAGGCTTTCTTCCTTTCTCTTGTTTGTGCCTCTTTTCGCAACCCAAAGCAGGGAGAAGACTCTAAACAACTTGTGCTTTTTATTCAGTTATTTGAGACCTTCAGACTTTCTGCCTTTTGCTTTTGTCTGTGTAATTAAATAAAAGTATATACTGCCACATTAGCCTGTTGTACAGTCGCGCAATAACAAAACAATTTCTGATGCAGCTGTGCCAAATGTCATATTTCATTTTCATGGCCTGAGGCAAAATCCCACGAATCAGAGCTTTGACTTTTCATGGACATGTATTTGTTTCTTAGTTAGTTTATTGTTTGTATTTGACTTTCATGTACATTTATATCTAGAGGTCTTTATTTCAGTTCAAGCTGACATTAGTATTGTGGGTTCGGTTTACTTTGTATAGTCGCCTATGTTATTTTCCAAACCTTTAGCCTCACATCTCTGTATGCCAGGTTTGTGCGTGTTAGTGTTTAGTTAGTTATTTCCTGTTTTATTTTGATAGCAGAGTTTGCCTGCTGCACAAAAACCCTCTCAGTGATTGCTTTGGTTGTGAGGTGATTGCCACAGTTACCTGTAGTTTTTTATGTTTGTGTGGAAGTACTTGATTGTAGACAAACATGATCGATCCAAATATCGACAGTATCGATTCAAACATTAGTACTGGTGTCAGATCGATACTAGCACAATAAGATTCACACTTTGTCTCCATCCTCTAAGTTCAGTGTGTAGCTCACTGAATTGTATTATTGTATTATTTTCATGCAAGTGAAAAATGTACAGAAAATATAAAAATATACAAATATACATCAAACATGCACCGTAAAAAATGTCCGAACCTTAAAATGTGTTTTGAATTTGGAAATTGGTGATGATTCATTTCGTGAATCATGGCACACTGCCCCACCCTACATAAGCTGCCTTATAGGTTAAAAGTATCAGTATCAGGATTAGTAGATCAGTATGAGCAAACATGCTTGAAAAGCTGATTTTGTTTTAACAGTTTTCAGAGAAAAAGGTGGAAGGTTGTGAGAAGTGTCTCTTGCCAACCTTGAGAAAAATAAAAAAAGACGGACAGGAAGTGTGGTGAAATTTGAACTGTTGCTGGAGCACTTAGAGTGAGTGGCTTTAATTTTGAAATATCCTCAGTCACATCTAAAACAGTATAGCTGCTTAAATATTGTTGGAGCTCATTTTATCATTGATAACAAGTTTTTTTTTTTTGTCATCCACCACATCCTGGTGCAGTTCATGACTCTGACACTCTGTACAATATCATGTCCTATCCGAGTACTGATCTGCAGCACATTTATCAAACTCAAGCTCTGATTGGTAAGTGCATTTGTTCACTTGGCAAAATAGCATGGCTATGTAGAACCCACCTACACACACACAGTTAAATCCTTGCCTTAGGTTTACTATGTATATTTAATAGTTGCTGCTGTGATTTATTGATCATCCTAAAAGTGCAATTTCTCAAAGGGTAGCTGTCAGTTTTTCTCTAACTGGCAAAACACTGAAAAACACAGGAAATATAACTGAAAAAAAAAACACCATTCCTCCATTTTCATGCAGCTTACTCAGATTCTTACAGTGCAGAGTTGCAGAGACCTTCCTTACCCCTAATGTTTGAAGTTTTTATTTTTAAGATTTGTATTTGATTTAATCTGTTTCTCAGCTCTCCTTCATTCTGCAATTTGCCATCTACAGGATTACACCCAGGAAGTGCTAATTCACTCCAGGATTTTCTAGACCTGCTTTTATGGTCAGGTGAGGTGGAGTATTATAAAAATAATAATGACTTAAATTTGTATAGGGCCTTTTAAGAAACCCAAGAACACTTTTCACATGAATAGCAACGGAAAAAAAGGCTGTACGTTAAGGGTTTTGTTGAAGACAGGTTGATTCTCTTGATACAATTAGACATGGTTGTTTACTGTTAAACACTCTAACCATTAAGGAAACTATCCATCCATCCATCCATCCATCCATCCATCCATCCATCCATCCATCCATCCATCCATCCATCTTCTTCCGATTATCCGGGGCTGGGACTTGGGGGGCAGCAGCCCAAGCAGAGAAGCCCAGTTCTCCCTCTCCCCAGCCACCTCCTCCAGCTTGTCCGGGGGAACATCAAGGCATTCCCAGGCCAGCCGAGAGATGTAATCTCTCCAGCGTGTCCTGGGTCTGCCCAGGGACCTCCTCCTAGTGGGACACTGGGTCCTTTCGATGTGAAGGAGCAGCGGCTCTACTCTGAGCCCCTCCCAAATAGCCAAACTTCTCACCCTATCTCTAAGGGAGAGGCCAGCCACCCTTCAGAGAAAGCTAATTTCAACCCCTTGTATCCACGATCTCGTTCTTTCCGTCACTACCCACAGCCCGTGACCACAGGTGAGGGTAGAGACGTAGATCAACCGGTAAATTGAGAGCTTGAGACAGAATATATACAATTATACTTATGAAACTAGAGTTAAAAGTCCAAAATCTATGCGTATACGTTAAATTTTACAAAGCCATTTAGTAGACCAGATTGGAGCCTTTCATAGGCCAATTTTGGCCCCCAGGCCTTATATTGGACACCTTTGCTGTAAACGTATTAAATATAAACAAAGAGGGGTGCTCTTTTCATATGGGATGTTATGCCTTGGTTTTTAGTGGTCTAATTCACTTATGGTCAGATTAGACTGTCTGTGGCCCATGAAGTAAAAGGCAGTTACTTCCTTTGTTTTAGACTCTCTTAGCAGTACAAGTCATGTGCTCACTCCTGCTGAGTCAGCAATCCCTGATGCAGTTTTATTGGATATCTCCCATCACTCTGCAAGAAAATAGGACTAGATACATTAAGTACAGTTTATACTCGCGATCTGCCTATTTTCTCTTCCGATGGGAGAATAAAGGACATAGATATGTGCTTCTCTGAGTGAATGAAGACCAAAAAAAGACTGCAGCAAATCAGGATTCATGCTTACACTTACCTGCTTTCACAGAGAAATTTGATGAAAAACATAGTTATGGATTGAACATGTGATGAATGACTTGTGGGGCGAGTGTCCCTTCCCCTGTTGAAATGGGCTGTTGGACTGGAGGACTCTAGTCTTTTCTTATAGTGAAAATAGCTTATTGTAATTATGCACTGTCGAGTGCAGCAGTTAAATACACTGAAGTATGGCAGGCCTCACAGCCTTTTGTTGAAAAGCTTAAACCAACCCAGAGTCACAGGCCTTCCTATTTAACAAGCTAATTTCTGAGTGTTTCCAAGCCTAACATTAGTATAAAGACAAGCACATAATTGTTGAGAAGAATTATGTGGCTATACTTGTGAAAGCTCCTCTTTATGTGAAGAAAGTAGAAGCTTTGAGAAAAACTTAACTGGGATTTGACTGTTGGAGGTGAAAGAGCATCTGAAACTTTTAATTTACATGAACAATGGGAACCAGCAGAAAAATCCTCCCAGAAAAGCAGCTGTGGAGGTGGAGGAGTTAAAGCAGGTAGGAGACATCTGACATTAAGCTGAGGGTTTGCTTAAGCCAGTGTACAGTTGTCTGACTTGCCCTAAAGACAATAAAAATGCCGAGGTGTGAACATGAAAGCAATTTGTAAAATCTGAAAAGATATGTTTTGATGTGACGCATTGTCAGAATGGAGCTTCAATTGAATATGTTTTTATTTTAAACGTCTCCCTGGTGTGAGAAAAGCAGGCCTCTATTAATTCTCCAGACTACTGTTTAAAAAGCCATTGTGTGGATTTCAGCAGTGAAATGTTTTTATATTTGAGGGAGATAACAACAGATGGCTTGTTGACATATTAACAAGCAACCTGTTGTGTGAATAATGCCATCAGTAATGGGTCATGGTAGTGATCAGACACCAAAATAAAGCTATGGAAGTGTGAAGGAGGCACTTATTTCTCATACAGGGATGTTCTTTCTGGCTTAAAATGACTTGATCATCATGGATATGTTTGGCAAATATGTTGGAAAAAGGACTGAAGTCAACTGGATTTATGAAGGACTATATATGAAGAAATTAATTAATGTGTTATTGTACCTAAAGTATATTCAACCAGCCTATGAATACCTTGATAGTACTATTATGTTAAATTCGTTGTAATATCTGCTGCCCACTTGGTCACTATTAAATAATAAACTTTTAATGTCAGTGAGACTTTCCCCTGGTAAATAAAGGATATATAAAAGTCCATTTACCCCAAACTGATAGCGGCTTCTATGATTCCTTTTTTTTCAGTGTGGAAAATACCGGAAGTCCTTTTTGGCACAACACCTGACTCTAATTAAAACCTCCTGAAGCAGGTGTGACCCTCCGCCACGCCAGAGGCCTCTCGCTGATCTCTTTTACATGGCGCCACGATAAAGAATTAAATCGACCAGGTGGTAGCTTATTTTTATCAAACGGTACTCGTTAAAATGAAGGTACCGGAGGAGGAATCCATGAGTGACATTTTGAAGCGGCTGACGGGCGAGTCCGCGCTCCCTGTCTACTGCAACATCGAGAAGTTCAAACGAGGACGGGACAATTTATACTTCGTGGCCGAGGACTTCAGCGAAACTGTGAAAAAACGAGAGTTGGTCAACGCCAAAGAACGAATGAGAGTGAGTGTTTTAAAAAGTAACTCGTAACCACAAATGAAGGACGGGTAGCAAAATTTCCTTTAACAGCTCACTCAAGGAGGGAAGCTGTTAGCAACCTCACAGCTAACGATGCTAGCTGGAAAAATAGATACGTTATTGTTCATTTTAGGAATAATTTGCTAATATTTTCTCAAAATAGACTGACGACTTTATTGTCCAAGCAGAATTGCAAGTTTAATCTAAACATTTCGACTCTCAATAAAGCAATATTTTTTTTCCTTAATCTGTGCCACCCCGCCCTACAAGGAGTCCTCGGCTAATGTTTCACACAGAGCTGCATCCCTGAAGCTGCACTACACCAGTAAGGCACATTGTTTGGCGCTGAAGTTCGCTCAAAGGCCTGCATCTTGGTTTTTTAGCAGCTGTGTATTAAGTGCTAAGCATGACCTTTTTCTGAAATTGCTTTGTGAATGCATCCTGAATGGACTAGATTTTCTTGGAAATGCAGTTCTCCTTCGTTGTTATATTAGAGATGTTGTTTTTGGATGTCTGAACGATATTATTAGAATGAATAATGATGATAATAATAGCGCTGATATTTGCATAAGTAGACCTGCTGGGGTGCTAAAAGTTTCCTTTGTGTTTAATTAAAAACTACCTTTTGTATTTCAAAATTGACAAGTCTGTATACAACTCAGTGCTGCTTACGATCAAATAAGTATGAATATAGACCCTGTAAATGTTTAGTTTAAACCGGGATTTGTTCCCACAGGGCTTAAATTTCTACTAGAGTATCAAATTGTGACAATCGCTCCTGCTTCAAACCCTACAGTTTTCAGTGTTTGCTAAAGCACTTCAGCCTCTCTTTGTTGCAGATCAGGAACTTGAATACCATGTTCTCTCGCTTGAAAAGGATGGTGCCACTGATGCGACCAGACCGAAAGCCCAGCAAAGTGGACACACTCAAAGCTGCCACAGAATACATTCGACTGCTGCTTGCAGTTTTGCAGGAAACTGACAGTGTAAGTACTGCGCTCGGCAGGAC